GCTTCTTTCGCACTAGGTTTGTTCTATCGCTTGCTTGTTAACTTCACGTAGATCTAATACGAATATTATAGTATTTGATGAATAAGCAAGTTGAATGGATAACTGTCATTTTTGTACCAATTTTCAATATAGCGTCGAAAGTAATCCTGCATTGCTTTAGTTTTGTTATACTTGCTCTCTGATTGGTCCAAAGAAATGCACGTTACCCCTCTCGACCAATTGGATCACGCAAAACTTAATACGATTGCGACTTTGTTTTTGTCACTTGGTTAGAAGTCAGGGTATTCTCCCTCAGTTAATACGTGCGTTATGATCGGTCAATTCAGCGGGCCGCATTCCCTCTGCAGCTCGCTAAATGCAAAAGTTTGTTTTTATTGAAATTTTCCCCCCTCTATTTGATTCAAGAAATATAATAGATATCTTGTTAACCTCGTTTTCTCGGTCCGTACCGTAAGTTACGGAACCTCGTTGCATCCGATTGGATTTATGGCTTTTAGGGCTCAAGTCCGAGTGGATAAACTTGGTCCGTAACTTACAGTACGGACCTCAAACTCGGTTAGTACGAGATGTATTTAAGTAAGGATTTAAAAATATGTTAGTTTGTTTTGTCTCTTCTGTGTAGGTAAAATCGCTGCGGGAAATTTGAACTTGTATTTACCATTCCTACTCAAGGAGATTCAAGCAAATCCTAAAAGACAGTATCTATTGCTTCATTCTCTCAAAGAGGTACAAGAAAATACGAAAAAAAAAATGTTTTAGAATCTTCGCTACTACTCATGAAGGATGTTCGTTTTTGCCAGAAGGTTACTGGCATGTGACAAAGCAACAGGAAAAAAAAGAAGAAATATATACGAAGAGAGAATCTTACCTTTGGTCAAAACATCTCACGCTAGCGTTAAAATCGTCGGAAGAGTATTGAAAGACGCGGTGGCCTAGTGGCAAGTGTGGTATGACACCTAAGCCCCTTCTCTCACCATGCACTTTAAGTCTACCGAGTAGTGTTAATGGGTACCATTATATTTGGGGACCCTATAAAAGGCTGAGGAGGTAACATTGCAACGAACTGGCTTCCCATCCAGAGGATAGCAGTAGTATTCCTTGTCGCTTCATGCGATGGAAACCGTACAGGCTCCCGTAAGATGAGGCCTTGGGCTCTTTAGGTGATTTAACATGTCCACTGATTGTTTTTGATGGTGATTTTTGGTTAGGTGATCTCGTGTGAAGCAGGAAGTCCGACTGGAGTTGAAGCTTTAAGACCATTTATCGTCTCAATATGGTAAGAAATGGTAATATAATGGAAGGGTGCTTGTTCTTGTTCAACTTCTCAGTGAGTATTTTGACCCTCTTTTGGCGCAAATAGTGCAAAGCAATTTGTTGTCGATGAGGTGTTCCTTCCGTGTTGTAGAAGTTAGTTTCAGTTCTTGTTTAATTAATGTCGTCCCGCAGGACTTTGCTATTTAGCCATTGTGAAAGCACGGAAGAAGGAACGAGGAATGTTGTTGCCGAGTGTCTGGGGAAACTAACTCTTGTAGATCCTTTACACCTTCTACCACAGCTTAAGGTTTGTGACGGTACTTAGGATGTATCCCAATGTAAACAAATGCAATGGGCTTTATAGAAATCCAGATTTCACACACACAAAAAAAAGGAAACAGATTGGCTTGTTAAGTTCAGAAGTCTATATAACTTTTTTTGTTCGCGTTGGTAACAATACATTGTTATGAAAAGAAATGGAGAAATTCATTTGTTGTCACCGTTGGACGTGGAAGGATTGATACCGTTTTATCCCTTAGCAATTTAAGAAATAAAATGAAATAAAATTGTGTTTTAGAACTCGGTTCCTTGTTGTAGGCAACGGTACATATATTAATATGTTGACTTCACATAAACATGGGATTTCCTTGTCGTCAAACTTGTTATCTGCTTTGTGCCACAGGACTACCTGAACTCAGATTCAGCCTTTGCTCGGAGTACTGTGGTGACAGCTGTGAAATTTACCATCTCGGACCAAGTAAGAAATTGTCAATAATTAACAACTATTCGCCGAAGTGGAGGTTGGTAGTGGTGGATATTTACCAAGCTGCGAAGCAGGGAAGTAAATATCTACCGCAAGACACCGACGCTGAGGTGAAAAGTTGCTTTATTATACAGTAAAATTGTAAGATATTAAAGACGATTTTAACTCGATTGCTCCTGCAACGATTACAATATTTTCTGGCGCAAATCCCGCGCACGTTGCTCGGAGTTAAATAGGAAAGGATATTTTGGGTTTAAGCAGCCAATCAGAGCACTTTTTCAACGCTATCCACTGTGTAGCGTACGCTAATGTTATGTTATCTCGGCTGTTTACAAGACGCGTTGAAGGGCTTCCCTCTTGCTTCAAAGAAGCAGGTTGTTGGTGTGTGAGGAATGAGCCTGACTCTTCGCTTGTGCGCCGCCATTTTTATCCACAATTGTTCAGGAAGGTCTTGAAAGAATATACTCGAAAGGACGTCTCACTGTATCTGTATCAACGATAACCTTGGACCAGTATTAGTTTGGGAACGTTCATTTTAACTACGTTAACTACGAAGCAAAATACGTTACGTAAATATACTACATATACGATTTATGCACGAAAGTTCACGGATTGTTTCTTTTACTGGTACTTTAGCCTCAGCCGATAGACAGTCAGCTAAGAGGATGCATTGGAGAATTTCTTAGAACAGTACAGGACCCAGATTTGGTATGTGCTACCTGAGTACTTTTCCACTGGGCTAAATGGAGCCGATACCTCTTTACTTTACACTGCATTGTGCTGAATCTTGATATTAACACAAACAATGCAGGTTGAAAGATATACATTCTTTTATGTATGATTCGTTCGTGTAGAGAACTGTTCCATTTTTTTTGTTTTTGTTTTACACAGAATGTCCGCCGTGTCGCTTTAGTGACATTCAATTCAGCAGCTCACAATAAACCGAGTCTCATTAGGGATTTGTTGGAACAAATTCTCCCTCAACTGTACAACGAGACTAAAGTCAGGGTAGGTGAAACTTTGAATTTGAGTATCGGTGAAGATTTTGTTTTAAATATTTCTTATTAACCAAGCGCGAGGGCCGCACTGGGAGAATATCGGCCCAAGGCCTTGACAGTACGGACCTCGCTGCGCTTGGTCTGTACAAAAAAGACCGAGGGCCGATATTCTTCCAGTACGGTCCCGAGCAAGCTTGGTTAATAAGAGATTTATTATACGCCCTCCCGCACCCCCCTACCCGTTTTTCTCCACCTCATCGTCTCCCCTTATTCAAATTCCTCGGAGTAAATTTAGGACCATTTTTTTTTCTTTTTAGTGACTTAAGCAGTCATCAGGACCTAGCTGAGGCCATCTTAGATTGTTTCTCATCACCATCCGAGGAAGTCAAGTCAGCAGCTTCTTTCGCACTAGGTTTGTTCTATCGCTTGCTTGTTAACTTCACGTAGATCTAATACGAATATTATAGTATTTGATGAATAAGCAAGTTGAATGGATAACTGTCATTTTTGTACCAATTTTCAATATAGCGTCGAAAGTAATCCTGCATTGCTTTAGTTTTGTTATACTTGCTCTCTGATTGGTCCAAAGAAATGCACGTTACCCCTCTCGACCAATTGGATCACGCAAAACTTAATACGATTGCGACTTTGTCTTTGTCA